ACTGACCATCTACGACCAAGAAGAATATTACCAAAAAAACAAACAAACAAAACTATGAATTAAAGAATTCACAAAATGCTACACTGATACGTAAAGTTTTTATTCATGCCAAATGAAGGGAGTCGTGTAATTCACTGAACTCTTATCTGTACAGGGTTGATATATATCCAGCTCTTCTTTGCGCGTCAGCAACTGCAGAGGGAACTGCTGGATATTATATTTTGTTTCTGTTTCCCTAAACATAAAATTCACAAGACTTCTCTATTTCAATCCGCTTTAAAAAATAACAATTTAAATTATTGAAAACATACTCCACGAATATATCTACAGACTTTATGCTATTGGAATGTTCTCAAATTGTGTGTGTGTCTATATATATATATATATATATATATATATATATATATATATATATATATATATATATATACATATATATATATATATATATATATATATATATATATATATATATATATATATATATATATATATATATATATATTAGCTAATGCATTTTAGTCGTTTCCAGGGCATAATTGGTAAAAATTCTGTCTCTACAGTTGTTGCGTGCTAATATTGTTTTCGCTGGGTAGGGGGACTCCGGATCAGCTCTCCCCTGACTGGATCAGTAAAGTGATTAAGTACTTCAAAACTGGTGAGTCATTCGTGCCTAATTTAGCTTGTCGTTACCTTTAGAGACTTGTGGAGAAAACCCAGGAGAGAAGAACGAATTAAGGTGTACATTTTTCGTAATCCGTAATTAATGGCTTACTTGTATAACCTTATATTCATTTTAAAAACATACTCGGTGAAGTGGGGACCTCACGTGTTTAGTCGCTGAAGAAGGAACAATATAAACCGTTAATGATGCTAATTATGAACAACCTCCTGTGAGCAAAGGAAAATGCCGAAGGATCGAAGACTGGTGCTGATTGCTAAAAAGATTAACCTCGTCATTTTACGGCCAATTTCACCGGACAATTCCTTTAATTTATAGCACTGCAACACTTTGCTTTACTAGCTATTATAGGCTTGTCCAGCAATTGTGATTTGTAACAGATGGTTGCGAAAGCGCTCTCTCTCTCTCTCTCTCTCTCCTCTGTATATATATATATATATATATATATATATATATATATATATATATATATATATATATATATATATATATATATATATATATATATATATATAGTCCTTAGCAGATACATTTCAATACTAACTAGATAGCTATGTGTGTTCATTATGACATGCAGTTTATTTAATTCAGGTTTTTTTTTCTTTTGAGAGCCATGAATTTGTGAGTCAAGAAACAAACAAAAAAGTTTTAAATTCAACGACGCAATAGCACAAAAGTTATAGATATTATAATCATGAAATGTTATGTACATATGTAGATCGTCCAATTAGATTTTCAGACCGTTACAACATTTGCTTAATTTTGTAATATTTGTTTACAAGATCAACGATTATCAAACTATGTCTAGTACGTCTCCAGTAACCTAGTGGTTAGAGTTTCGCTTCGGATGCAAGAGATCGCAAATATAAAAACGCCCTACCCGCTTGAAATACACACATCTGTCTTGACATTTTCCCTGGCTTTAATGTTTTGGGTAAGGGCCGTCACCTTCACTTTTCGGATGAATATATTCAAAGATTAGCCATATCACATTTGTGGCAAACTGAGCATAATAAACTTTGACCTACCGTCTAAAATCGCTTCTAAGTCGAGTTTATCTCCAAACTGCACAGATTCAGATCAGCCGTCGCATAATACGCCGATATATCTAGATCTATTCAGCGTGTTAGGAGTAATCGGTAAAACAAAAAACATATACCCTGATTTGCAGGTGCAACGTGCTACGGAATATGAGGATCTTTGTTATTTTCAGTTGACTCGTCTTATAATTGTTTGTAGACGGCTCTTCTAACGAACATTTCAACAAAATCACTTTTCCTTCAGAAAGTGTCGGTTGTTTATGATTTTAAGCACAGGTAACGGCAAAACGAGATAAAACTAAAACCGCTGGTTTTTCATTCCTGGCTGAATGGCGTCAGACGTTCTTTCATCTTATCAATTGTTTTATAATGTATCTATTCATCGTTTATTTTGTCTGACAAAGAATGTATTCATCAGATATCTAGACGGTTATCCTTCAGTCGAATTGCTTAAGTTTAGAAGTGGTTATACGAATATCCTCTAGTATATTATTTTCTAATCGCACAGAGATAAAGATCTTCCCAATGCAGGGAGACAAAAATCGATGTTACCTGCAAGTAGTTTATATACCCGATCGTATGAAAGCTGTGCATTAAAATATGGTACAAAAGGTGTACATAAGAATATGGTATGAAAGCTGTACATAAGAATATGGTATAAAAGGTGTACATAAGAATATCGTATGAAAGGTGTACATAAAAATATCGTATGAAAGGTGTACATAAGAATATGGCATGAAAGCTGTACATAAAAATATGGTATAAAGCTGTACATAAGAATATGGTATGAAAGCTGTACATAAGAATATGGTATGAAAGCTATGCAAAGGAATATGGTATGAAAACTGTACATAAGAATATGGTACGAAAGGTGTACATAAGAATATGGCATGAAAGGTGTACATACGAATATCGTATGAAAGGTGTACATAAGAATATGGTATGAAAGCTGCACATAAGAATATCGTGTGGAAAGGTGTATATATGAATATGGTATGAAAATTGTACATAAGAATATGGTATGAAAGGTGTACATAAGAATATGGTATGAAAGCTGTACATAAGAATATCATATGAAAGGTGTACATAAGAATATGGTATGAAAGCTGTACATAAGAATATAGTATGAATGTGTACAAGAAAATATGCTATGGTCATAAAACGACAATTAAAGCTTTGAAAACAGTTGATAATTTGGGGCAGGGGACATACCACTACGATGTTCTGAGACCATTGAAAGATCATGAGATGTGCTATTTTGATTTTGTGTCATGTGCACACCTAGTCCGAGTTTCCTTCAGCCCTTGACACCCCATTTTTGATATTTGTTTTTTTATGTTGGGGTGTAAAAAAAAACAAATATCAAAAATGGGATGTCAAGGGTTAGAGGAAACTCGGACTAGTGCATACCTGAACGTACAAAAATGTACCCTTTTAAAAGGTTCGATAATTTTCCAGTCGGGTTTGTTTATTCGTATTGTTTTACCTGTGTGTTCCTAACATACGTAAAATGGTTTGAGGACTAAAACCTGTAAGGGCTGTAGCACTCACACCGTATGCAGTATTTAGCACAGAAATAAAGGTCTTTTGGATTCTCATAATATAGGTCAAGGTGCAGTGTCGCTCTAATTCGGTGAAAAATGTAGTATAAATAATAATAATACTATGTCTGTTTCAATGGTGGGCGGAAACATTTTAAAGTAGGGTAATTCACATGGCATTCAGCAAGAAAACGAGTTGAACTGCACCAGCTACGGAATACATACTCTCCCCTATAAATACCGGCGTGGTCATGAACGACTTTTCTAAATCGTCACAATAAGTTTCGATTGCTGGAACGTAAAGTTCTGTTTTTTGCTATTTAATCGCTTTTATGTCTATGTAGAAACATAGCACTATGTAAATATTGTCACGGTTTAAATACTTAAAGAGGATTTAAATGAACGACGTCGTGTTTGTATAAGACATTGAAGGTAATTCACAGGACTCAGAACCTTAGATAAAACTTGTAGATGAGTGGTTGGGACGCCATTAACAAAGCCAACTTGAAAGACCTAGAGAACTAGCAAAACTGTGCTTCGAGAAATTTAATGGGAAATTCAATAGACAGATTTTTTCTTACAAATTAAATGCCTACATCAATTATAAAAATACAATTATTATAATTAAGGGCATAAGCAAAAATTTTTAAATATATTTCACAGCGAAAACAACTGAATGTCTGATGTACGTTCATAATTCACAACAACAAGAACAACAACAAACACCTAATTATGCTACATTACAGCTTTGAAAACGTTAAACAAACACATAAAAGAAACCTTTTTTCCCTCAAATTTGTGATTTTGGGAGTGTCTGAACTGTATTGTAAACCTTTGACTACAATTCTGTTTGAGAAGTAATCTGAAATAGAGTTATCGGTAACACTACTAAACTCGGGAAGATACGACAGGGAAGTAGGCTTGCACTGCCTTTGAGATGCGTAGAATTTTAATGGAATACATGCTAAAATATGATAAAACAGTAGGAAGCATTGTAGTTATTAGTGGCTTTAATTGAATTACATTCTTTTTCGGATAAAAGGGCTCCGCTCTCTTGGACAAATGAACAATTTCCTAAAATATAAAATGCAACAAAAAGAAATCATTTTAAGTAGAACCTTTTCTTAATCTTTAATTGAAGGTTACTCAGATATGTTAAGACACAGAAGGACGCTGGAAGGTACATAGTGCATAGGTTAGTTAACTGTCGTTTCCAAGGAGTCATCCGCAGCTTCCGTTTACTAGTCCAATCCAACCATTTAGCCATCGCGTAGTGTTAGTCGTAAACAGTATGCCACTATGTAAGATTCATAATGTAACAAGAAGCAAGGGAAAAATTACCGACAAAAGGCTGAAAAGATTGCTTTTCTATTTTAATTTTACGGTCATTTCTTAATTTGCTACTTGAACCATGACATAATATCTTGATCGCGAGTGGAATATGATGTTGCAAGGACCAGATCGTGACATGTGTGTGTGAGTGTGTGTGTGTGTGTGCGTGTGTGTGTGTGTGTGTGTGACCTTTAACCATATTGTAGTAATATCGTTACAATGTCTGCATTGTAGCAATTTATGGTGATCTATAGCATAGGAGCATCATGCTGCAGACATGTAGCATGATGTCCTACCCAGTCACATTACCTTGACATCAGGCTGACCAGTTCCAACACTAATCTCTAAATGCTGAGCGCCTGGCGAGGCGAGGCAACTGTTACTACCATTTTTATATATTTGTTATGACTCGGCCGGGGTTCGAAACCCGCAGTCTCACGCATCCGTGGTGGACGCTCTAACCATTAAGCCACCGGAGCGGTCTGTTGAAATATATAGAATGCACACTATATGTGGGGTCAGTACCATCTTATCTACGCTTTTCTGCAAGGCATTAATCATACGCATTCCAGCTAATTAATTGATGCATAAGCCAGGAAGGCATGTGAATGATTTGAAATTGCTTCGAAAATTCTAATTTAATACCCCATTCCCACAGATGGGTTTAAACAAGATCAGTCACTTGATTTTGTTATTTTAAAGATAATATTGTTCGCAAACGCTGCCATATTTGTGAATCTACATGCAGCCACATTTTTGTAACTCACACGAAGAAGAGCAGAGTTTGCTATGAAAGAACTGACTGGTAAATCAGTTTACTTTTTCATTGTATGCATATTTATATAAGCCAGAATATACAGTGATGCTGAATGTAGATAAATCAGTTTTCTAAGCCCTGTATTTTGTATTTGAAATCAATATTTTACCTAACGAAGATGACTATTGCAAATGTGATTAGTTTTATTTCGTTTCATTTTTTTTTGGACAGCCTCACGTTGAAGATGTCATTTTGGGATAAGCACTTGCAGTTTGTTTTTGTTCTTTATTCAAAAGAGAGATCTGTCGGTTTGTTTGACAATCAGAGTAGTTGTAGAATAAAGAATAGGCATTTTTCTCCAAGTAAGATCTTGAGATGGAGATATTAATGCGGGTCGCCTCTTAAAGAGATACCGAGTCAATACAAAGGAACATTGAAAAACCAGTTTTGACACTGTCTGATGCAGATAACGGTTAAAAGAAACATTTAAAGTCAATGGTCTGTTTATTTGTGCTGTAGATAAGTCTTTAAAATGGCACGTCTATTCGTGTTTCCTCATCCGTATAATCACCGTGTTTGCCCTCGGTTTTGCATTATTGTTTCTTTTTTTCTTATTTCACATCATGAAAGTTTTGTTTGAAGATAAAAAAAGCAAAAAAAAAAAAACAACAACAAAAAAACGACTGGATGTCAATCTTTTATGAAAACAGAATCGATGTTAATGCATAAAAAGTCAAATGAACTTGCTTACGCTATGTGATTGCAGATAACAGTGCAGAACTAAGATAATCGGATAAATGTCCAATATGATAGAAAATATTTCACATGGTAATATATACCTTTCAGTGCGGTTAACTACACAGAATTTTAGATAAGCACGGGGTGTCAAGCAACCGTGGGCAAGATCTCCACTGATTTCATTTCTTACAAACAGTGCAAGGAAGAAAATTTTCGTGGGATAAAAGAACATCATCTAGTTTCACTATCTTTGACCTTTTACTAAATGTAAATGTACCTGAAACTTCATGATTTTCTTTAAATTTGCAATTTATTAATTCCTTGAGCAACCTTCAGTCTCAAGTGCAAAGTTAAGATTCGTGCAAACATACCTTGCAATACAAACAATGGATTCTTGTCTAAAAATAAGGCTGAGATGCTGCCAAGAAAAACGAATTTGTTTTTACCTAAGTGACCTCAAACTGCATAATGTCACGTGTTCCAACTCAGTCAATATTTCTGACGGAAAAATTTGTTGCAATGAAGGAAACAACAGATTATAGGAATATTAGGAGCTTAGAAAATGTGCAAAATTAAAGCCAGGTTTCTTAAGTTAAATATAATTAACTTTTCATCTACCCTGTCACATGTCCGTTTTCTTGGCCAAAACAACTACCAGTATAGTCTGTCAATCCGTGTTAATAAAAATTGTTACTCCTGGCTCAAGCTTCCATACAAAATGGAAAGAAATAATAGCTTTTTACAATTCTGATCACGTGGCATTTCTGAATATGGCTGGTGTGCTTAAAGTTCGTACACATTGCTTTTGGAAGGATATTAATATGCACTGGAGCATAAATATGAACTCAAGGCTGGTCGCTGGAATCCTTATCGACAGACCCTGGTCGCACCTGTTAAAGGGTCACTGATTTGGAAACAGGATTATCTGAACAATTAATGAGATAAATTCAATATCTCTTCACTCCAGAGAAGGAGAGATATACCGAAATGATTGATTTGTAGACTTGTTTTGCTTCAGATCTTCGACACAATTGCACACTGAGGTTGTGTAATACAAAAATGTAGACGTCGTATGTTGTCTTATTTACAGTACAGCCATTTAACGGCCTTGCTCTACAACGACTAGCTTCAATGAGGTGTGAGGTTAAAAAAGAAAGGCCATGATATAAACGACCTTTTGTTATCCGCACTTACAAGGGTCACGCGACTTTACGGGTCCTTTAAATTAAGTACCATCATCAAGCTTGGAAACAGAACCACGAGTGTCTTCTATGTACAAGCAATATCCATGATGTTCCAGTCAAACCAAATTGATGAGATTACTACGTATCACTGCATGAAACTATTATATTATGTGAAGTTAAAACAGAAAGTACGTGCGTCTAAAGTCCATTGAACATTCACCAGAAATGACAATGGACTTGTACCTTAAGTCTTTAATATACACAAAATATGTAAAAATAATAAAATCGCATTGACTGCAGCGTTTGACACGTATTTTCCGAAATGCTCCCACCTGGAGTTTTTTTTTAAGCTTTAAAGTTAATGATTTCTTGAGGAATTAAGATGCATCAGTAGCAATATGCATGCAGAGATATTTAATGCGAGTTTAATGCTCATCGCTAGCGTGTTAACACTTTAGAAATAGACACAGATAAAGTATTATTTGTAACAGTGTACAAAACAAGAATTTTATCCATTTAAATTCTTTAAAATCAATTTATCAAGTAAACAAATCTTATGTACCTGCTAGAGGGGACGAAAGTATAACGGCAGAAAGGTGTGTGTGCGTTTGTGTGTTTGTGCGCGAGCTTGCTGAAATGATTAAATTTAACAATAGAATGATGTGTGCACATGCTGAAAAGGATAAAGCTTAACAATATAAAGCTGTGTATGTGTCTGTTAAAAGAGGAATAACAACAATAGAAAGTTAAGTGTGTACTAGCTTAAAAAGTCGAAGTATAACAATATAAAAGTGGGTGTACTAGCTGAAAGGGAAGAAAAATAACCATAACAAGTTATGTGTTCACTTGCTGAAAGGAAAGAAGTAAAACAATTAAAAGATGGGTAATATGAAAAATGAAACAAACGTACATTTAATTCACAACATGAAATTCAAGTTTCTCATGCAAAAATGCTGATAAAGAAATGAGTTGGTGTTTTAATCGCAAATTTCATCAGTCAGTTATTTCAGCGTATTATCACTTTACATTTTTGGATTAGTAAAAGTCTTGCAGCCTCGATTTGGAATGAAATTTTGAGAGTCAGTATTGTCCCCTGCGAAAATGAGTAACGTTAATGGTACATGTAGACGCACTCACACACTATGCACTACACACTTAATTCTGAACACCATCTCCCTAATGGTGCACACAGCGTACTACTACTACTACTATTGTTGCTGCTGCTACTGCTACTGCTATTGCCATCACCACTATAAATCACGAATACAAATAAATAAATAAATAAATAAATATATATATATATATATATATATATATATATATATATATATATATATATATATATATATATATATATATATATATATATAAATAAATAAATAAATAAATAAATCTTGCCAGATTTTATTTCTTCATAAGTATTCAATTTACATTTTGTTCACTTTAAATCTTGTTTTTACTTGCTAGAACTCGACAGCAATGTATAGACAGACCATGAATCGACATGGAGAAAAGAGTCGTTGTTCGTTAAATATTCAACTCTGACGCACATAAACTGACATATGCCAGATAACTTTTTAATAACCTTGCAGAATATTATATATCATAGATTTCTGTCAGGAATTTAAAAACAAAATTCTATATACAGGTCTTACTTTATGACATGAACATGGTGCTCAACATTACTTTTAGTGATTCCTTATGCATGCGATAGTTCCATTGCGAGATGTTATCACCATTATCATCTTTATTATGAGAAAGTTTGAGTGGTAATTCTTATCCCTATATTAGTGGTGCAATAGAATTTACAAATAATTCCTGAAACTGAATATGTGCGGATTTAAGGTTGGTTAACTTAACAATATCTACAAAAAATCCCCCCAAAATACGTATGCATTTAAGCTTTGTTTAATGAGGCTTAAAAACCATTCAATTTTTCTCATACGAAAAATTATATTTTTTCCCCGAACATTTGGGTTTAATTTCCGATAAAAAGGTTCCTGATTTAAAACCTGATCCTAGTGTCAGTGTTATATAGAAACAGTATCCGTTTAAACCCCGGGTAGAAGGACTGGTTTACAACATTGACAACCAGATAACGGTCCATATCAATAACAATCTGAAGATCAATCAACAAAGAAGATAAGGCTAGTTTAATACAGCTACCGATATGTAGCAGCGCTATGAACCCTTTTGTCCTATCTTCGATGAGTAGATATCGAGTTATAAGATTTGCAATAAATAGTTACCATACAGATTCTAGAAACACAGACGGATTTACCTTTCAGCATGCAAAGATAGAGTATTTAATATGCATACCTATTATTCAACCACCCACCAATTTCACCACTTTTCTGATTTGTCTACACACTTATTAGTATCAAACGAGAATGACTTCATATAATGAACAGATTTCACAGGCAGATATTTAAAAAATACATTGGTCTAATAGGTCAAGCAGATTATATCCTTTCGACACAATTAATAAACAACAACATACTTGAACTTAAGCTTAGACCAAATCGTTAATGAATAAACATTGCAAAAATAATCTACAAATCTGAGTTGTAACCGTATTTACAGCATTCTTCCTTTTTTCGAGCATTTGCACATTGTATCCAAGTTCTTCTTTTACATGGCGTCAATAAACTGAGTGTTAGCATGCAACAGAGCAGAAAGGTTTTGGTATGTTGATGAGTACGATATGTATCATTGTATCCTTTGATAAGGCCCTGAGATTGATCGCACCCTATTAGAGATCATGGATACGATGATGGGATGATTTTGGATTACAAACGTGAAAA